TGTACGCGCGCACACGCGGGTATATGTATGGGGGAAGGGGGGGGGGGCGGGAGGGGGATTGCGTACATTGCGACGGTCGGGCTAACGCACGCGTTTCACGCGCGCACCACGATATTTAGTGGATCTACCATCGCAGCTATATATGGGGCTAGAGCGGAAGGGGGAAAGGACTGATGGCAGAGAGGGATCAGTTCGGGAAGGAGGGGAGGGGTGGGGGGGGCACGGAGTAATGTCTATTATCGGATTCAATATCGATGCTCTCGGTAAGCCAGTATACAAATACCCCTATGCTACGGTAATAACAACATAGGTGCACGCGAATCCGATCTTCAGCCGCCAATCCTATATGCGACGGACGGCTGCGGTCACCGCCGCAGTCGGTGCACGGCCCATCCGGTAGAAGGAGGGCAAAATCTGTGTTTCGATTAGGCGCTGATGGCAAATGCATCTCTGATAGTCTTAATGGCTTGGCCGAATGGATGGAAGTCGCAGGATCTAGACGCTTCGAGGTTGCATAAAACCCCGAAGCTTTGGTCTCTGGTCTCCCGCTCGAGATTTATCGCAAAGTCACTATACATTATTATAGCCGATAATTTGTTACTTTATTTCCTGATACTTTTTAAGCTGGATTTTATTTTATTTTTTACGTAAGAAGTTACATAACAAAATGCAAAGGATTTCAAGCTACTCAGGCACAATCTAATTTCTCTTTACGTAAATGTATAACTGTATAGTCCACTTTGAATAATTGCGGAAACGTCTTGCAAATCTTACGGGCGCGATTATATTTGTTATTTGAAAAATAAAATGAAGTGCGATGAGATATTTGCTTAATTTTGTTGCAGAGCGGTCGTGGAGGTCCTCCTTGCCGCTGGAGTTGACGTCAATACGAGAACGTCAGCGGGCACCGCGATGCACGAGGCCGCGCTTTGTGGAAAGATGGAAGTGGTACGGGCGCTTTTAGATCGCGGAGTGGATTTGGGCATTAGGGATTCTCGGCAAAACACGGTGCTTGATCTTCTGGGACAGTTTCCGCCGCACGTCACGCAAGATATCACAGCGGTGATAAAAAGTACGGCTGCATTCGTAATTTATTTTCGTAGCATTATAACCGATACATGGTCGTATGTATACATACGTACATATGTATATGTAATACTGTATATATGCGTGTGTATATATATATATACATATATATATGTATGTATGTACGTATATATAATTAGTGGAATTTCTGTCAAGAGAACGTACGTTTCTAGTTTACTGCAGCGTTTAATTAAATCGCTCTTAGCCACATATAAAGATTTACGTGTATTTGCATAACGTTATATTAAGCACATGGGATTAATCCCAAACTCCGTTTCTGTATAAACGTGCGAATAATGAAACGACACATCTATATAATTTTTACAACTTATACCGTACAATAATCGTGAATACTCATTTTTGAAAGTGCTACTTATTAGGAGTATTAAAAAAATTCATCAATTTCGAATTTTTGCTCAATTTCCTTCTCATTCGCTGCCCTGCAGCTACAGCACACTGCACTTTTGTTAGTTCGGTTTTCTTGAAAATATTCGTAATTATTTTTTATGGGTGACTGACTGTATGTACAATTACACGCCCTCGTCGATTTCGAAACAGGGCATCGGTCTTCCTCCGGTGTGGAAAGTGACGCCGATAGCGAGAACTTGCCGCCAATTCCGGTGCAGGGTGGCGACTCGTTGGGCAGCCCCTACGAAAATGTTCGTCCGGAGGATGATCTTTCCCCCGCGGAAGGGACGTCGCCTACTCAATGGCAGTTCTATCATAAGCCTCGGGACGACGATCGTCGCGTTTCCGGCACATCCGTCATGTCATTGTGAGTATTTCTTTTCACGCATTCTTTGCATGTTGTTCGTTGCAATATTTTTTTTTATAGCATTAAATCTTTCCCCTATTTCCCCCCTACTGATACTACGATGTCGTCATAGATAAAAATACATGATTGTACAAAATATCTAATGTAAATAATGTATGTATTCGTGATATTAGCAAGATAATTCGGTAGTAATGATGATTATCATTAAATTAACATCAGTGAAATATTACGGGAAAATAATATACGATTGAATAAGATAGCATGATATATCGACTATTTAAACATTTCGACGTATAAATACTCATTAGAATGTATCAAGTAATATCCGACAACATACGTGTAGTAATAAAAATTAGTAGTAACAGACTACATTCATTTATTACACTTCACAAAAATTTCAATATATATATGCATCGAACATTCATCATACACATATACTCTCACATATAATTATTCAAGTGGATTGGGACTTCGCACGTAAAATATAGTGAAAAAGTATTCCTCTATCATTCAGAGACCATCTTCATAGAGGTCTCGCGGAAAAAAAAAAATAAAAAATAAAAGCCGCGATTGCATCGGGCTAAGCGCGGAGGCTCGTAATATTTTGCAAAAAGGCTCCGTGCGCGCACAGCGGCTGCGGCAACGGTGCTTTAATATAGAAGATGTTGGACAAACAAAAGCGTAGACATGGACGGAGCCGCGGAGTGAATGAGTGAGTACCGGCCAAGCACACCGGGATGATGACGGGCTGGTGCTGGCGCTGCTGCTACCGCTGCCGCTGGTACCCGTAGGAGGTGGAGAAGGTTGTAGGTGGAGGTTCTCGAACCGAAAAGGGAACCTGGATATGGGGCGGTGCCAGGGGGGGTGAAACGCGAAGGTGGAGGAAGAGAGGTTGGAGGAGGTGGCGCGGCCGCGTGTAGCCCCAGCGCGTTAAGCACCGCTTGGCTTGGTTTAATTTTCCTGATGTAGGCAGGCGAGATGGTGGGTCCGACCGCCTCGTTCGCCCCTAGGTCACCCCCGCTGCATCACCCCATTGGTACTCTGTGCCAGTGCTACCGCTCTAGCTGCTAAGCCCGACTGGCTGGCTCGGGCACGGCGAGCGAGAGAAAGAGAGAGAGAGAGTGAGAGAGAGAGAAAGATGAAGACATAGGGCGATAGAGAGACGGTGAGGGAAAAGTGGAGAGTAAGGGAGCGAACGAATGAGAAAGAGGGATACGCGATATGTACATGTGGAAGAGGGAGAAGAAGAGCGTGGGAGCTCTCCCGTTGATGTTCCGCACTTCTACCATCAATGTTTGACGTCGGTAGCCCCGGCTTGGCCGCCTCGAAATGAATCCATCACGTTAAACAATGTAAATGTTAGCCCGTCTCAGCATAAAACTAATAACCATTGCTCTCTCCCTCGTGCTACAAGCGCGTGGCCTTCGTAACCCCCCGGGGCCGCGAGCTCCTTTTTCGTTTCTCCTTTCCACGTTCGTCGCGTACCGTCCTCATCAGCGATGGCCTCATTAAAAAGTCGACGCTGTGAATGTCTTCAATTGAACTATATTTTATCAATGGAAGCAGCTGTCTTTTCTATGCGCGCGCACACGATTTGCATTTACATTTATCCTTATATAATAAGATCCTTGCTCTTTGCTTTGCCGAGTGTTTTAATTTCAGCATTTCGTTATTCGCGAATAATTTAAATATTAACACATTAGCGTAATAAGATAAAGTAATAAAATTCTGTATATACATTAATTGAATTTCATTGAGTGGCGCATAGTTGAATAGCGAATTACTCCAGCTTGGCCGATATACAAGATTATGTTGCTTTGGCTTTGGATGTGCGGTTGATTGTTGGTAATCGATAACGGTTGACATACGGGGGTGCGGGTTTTCAGTGAAGACGAGCAGAACGGGGAACCGGTGAACGGAGTACGGAGGGCCCTCCAGCAGACAGAGGACTACTCCGACCCCAGTTCCGTCTTCGACAGTGTCTTTATGTCCCTATCCGACACTCTCAACTCTATAAATACTCTCGAAAGTTCCGACCAAACTCCTGAAGATTTTCCACAAAACACTAGCAAAAGAACACCATTACCACCCGACACTACACGGTAATGCAAATATCTTGCATTAGAAACATAGTTGCATTAGAAACAACATATACATTTACATTTAGTATCGAATCGACATTTTCGAAAGTAGTTTTGATCAACTTACATTTTAGAGTAGCTTACATGCATGTATTCGTCTGTAGGACGTTTGTCGGAAATTATTTACTTGATGTTGCTAAAGAAAGTACTGCTCTATAACTACTTCAGACAAATTTCGAGATATGCTATTAGCGCGCAAAATGTAAACGGCGTAGACGTGAGAAATTTTTGTGTTTCTTGCTGCTCAATCGAGCGGAAGCGTACGTTTCCGACAGTCTCGATCTATCGGGTCGATTTATCATCGACCAGTAATAGATAGCCGATTGGTTCCGTTGAAACCCCGAGTTTTGGTTGCACAGGGGCTCCGACAGCGGACTGTACCAAACTCCACCCGTGCCACGCGGCACAATGGAGGGTAGCTTCGTGTCGGAGGACCTGTCCTTGACATTGCCCACGGGATACGGGGGCGGCAGAGAGTCCGACCAATTGAGCGTATCGTCATCCTCGAGCGTCGGCGGACCGAGCCCACGGGACCGTCGTTGTTTGCCCAACGATTCCAGCGCTGCTGGGATTTACTTGCCAATGGCACCCCTGTCCAGCTCGCTACACAGCCCCGCTTCCAACAATAAAGTCTCGGTAAGAACCCCGATTTATCTAAGTTTATGAAGAAATATTCGCAGACATGAATGTACGCATCCGATGAAAATTAGAGAGATAACTGCCCCGTGCGTTTTTTTCGAATATCTGCACGAATTAAATTTTTCGAGAATACTTGTGGACGTGAAGATAATTGAAACGGTTCGCGAACGTGAAGAAAAATATTCGCTTCTTCTTCCGCAGCCGACACCGCCCAAGAAGCCACCTAGACGAAATCTCTCGGTATCCCCGACGCACCTGCAAACGCAGATGTCTTTATCAGCCGACAGTTCGGTAGGGCCGAGCAATTACGAGTACTTGTTCCTGGCGCGCAGCGGTGCGCGAAGTCACATCGATCTTGAGCAGCTGCAGAAACGGCGCGATCAGCTGCGACACGTTACGCGTAGCGTGGACCAGTACGTGGAGATGAAGTCGCGGTTGGTCGGAACGGATGAGAAGCGCGAGCCCGGCGTGGAGCCGGTAGCCATAACGTCCATCTACGAGAACCGGCCGATCAAGATGCTGAACCCGCGGAGGAAATTACGCAGGCACGCGTACGATAACTACGAGCCGGAGAGCAGCCCGTACGCCGACAAATCACCCTGCAGCGACGGTGACGCGGTGATCCATGAGCAGACGTTTGTATCGAGCGCGTTTCTCACCCTGAAGTCTTCCCAGGAGAGTCTTCTCGATGAGAGGCGCGAGATAGCGGACGGACAGTCCGCGTCGGAGAGTCGCGAGGCCACCGATAAACGTCTCAAACGCGTGCAAATGCTGCTGCCGACCAGCCCTACGCACTACGTTCAGCCACCTACCCCTGATCATCCGCCGCCGTCCGCCATGCAAGCGGAAAGATCCATCCACGAGCGCATTCGTCCGCTCAGCCAGGTAAGTGCCTGTCAGCGGCTATTACGCCACGCAAGGTTAACACGTTGACGGATATGTGACGCCAAAAAGATAGCGTAATAGAGTTAATAACAGATTATTAGCAGCATGGCTGCTATATGATAATCTTATTACGAACTTTCGAAGCACAATTTTCAGACGTGTTTATAAAAAAATAATAATAATAATAATGTGATAATTGTCTCGTTTTTCATGTTTTTTATGTGCTCTTATAGAGCTCTTCGGAAAAAAGAAAGTATTTTTTACTATTTTTATTTGTAAAATAAAATTGCTTTAGAAAATTATATCGGCAAGTTATGAATTGATGGATGGTTCTTAAGCGACTAACATCGTTTCCAATCCCCGTATTAACTCGAACGAGCGAGTGCATGCGAGATTCTCGATTTCCCGCGAGAATTCCGCAGTTCGTTTCAAACGGTAGTGATCTCAAATGTGAGCGCTTCCGCGATTTGTCGCGCGGCACTTGGCGAAGCGTGTAACGGCGGCGTTCAACTTTGCATCGTACGTCGGCTGCTGCTTGGAAGTACGGCAATCAGTAGACGTTTACACGTATGTACATATATCATATGTCGAGGAATACCGACTAGTAGTCCCGCTAAAGATGCGTCAGAACGCGGAGACTCCGCGGAGAACGCGGGCGGGGATATTCAAAGCGCCCCGATGATTTACCGCGAAACTGCCGATCCTTTAAGCCGCTCGTGACGTAAGAACTTAGCAGCGTGCGCTCGTTAAGGGTCGCCATTAACGCTCTCACTTGACCTGGTGCCTTGGACAGTAGATAAGCAGTCGACTTGGCGTCTTACCAGGTTACGTTTAATATACAAGCTGTGTTTGATCTGTGATGCGATTTACAAGGACTCCGTCCCTCTGCCTCGCTCGCAGCCGACACCGCCGCCGCCGCCGCTGCCTTCGGCCTGTCTCGCTCGTTTGCTGCCGTTTGCGCGTCGCCCTATGATCGTTCTGCTGTAAGACCGACTACGTTCAATTCCCATCCACCGCGAATGGATATCCATAGCACACGACGCAGCTTCCAGCGCACTTCTGCCTCCCTTCCTCTCCCTTTCTCTCTCTCTCTCTTTGCTCTTTCCACGGTATCTCTCTGCCATCCGCCCCGGCTTCTCTCTGCTCCGTTCCCTATATGCATTCGCAATCCGTGTCTTTCAGTCGGCTATACACGCTTGACGAAATATCACACAGTGAATATATCCAGAAAGGAGTCGGTGAATACGGCGAAGACGGCGAACTCATATATACAGTCGGTGGTATCATGTAACATCGCTTGACTGGGAGATGATCGATGTCTTCATCATGCAAATCGTCTATTTGAGATAGACACGGATATCTTCTTCTCGTAACATGCTTGGTATATCCTCTTTCCCTTCAATGAGTTAAAAATCCTGGGTTTCCCATTAGACTATGGGGCGCGATCATACACATTCCCGGAGATTCTTTGAAATAAGCCCCGAAGATCTGTATATCACGAGATCAAACAAATATATACGCATTGGAAAATTCAATCGAGAAGGTATTTCGAGGAAGCTATTGAGAGTTAACTTAATATCGCTAATATTGTACGATTTGCGCGAGTGATACTCGCAACATTCGTCGGCCGACTCGCGATAATACCCGTGCAAATTCTCAATTCGTTGAACAGCTGATATGATTCGATGATGGAGATCGAACGCTATTACGGCAGCTGAAGACAGCGTGCTCGGCACACAGAGTCGAGGCAGAGGGTCTCCGTGAACCTGTCGGAGGAAGGACGAAGAGATGGGAGAACCTTCTACGGATGGTTGCTTCTCACCCGTCAACTTCCGCGAATCCAGTAGAGCGGCAGAATGCAAGACGCCGACACCCTTTGAATAATGAAGCCCTCGGCTTCTATGCCTGTCTGACTTCGCCTCGCGAACGCTCGTTCTCCGTTGCCGGTTAGGAGAGAGAGAAATTCACGAATTTGTAGCGACGGTTTCCGGCTGTCTCCTCGAGATGCTCTCGGCGTTTTACAGATGATACCGCGGAGCGTCTGTCGGGCCTCTGACGTCAAATTTTAATTGCGTTAGAGCCTTTCTGGAACGCGCGATGAAATAGCAGCTTGCCGTCTCGTAGTTTGCACTTAGTAAATCAAAACGCGAGCTCTCTTTGAGTGGCGTAACGCAATTTTCGGTGGTTTAATACGCCTCGCTGTTAAACATAAATGACGTTACCCGTTGACCGTTGGTTATGGCTTGTTATTAATATAACATATAACGTAAAAAGACACAAACATGTAATTAAAAGCAGGAAATCTGTGTAAACTACAAGTTGTAACTTTAATTTATTTCAGTATTGAGGTTATTTATCTTTCTCGTCTTTCTCTTTCATTTTTTTTTATAATGAAAATAATTTTTGATGTACAAAGTAAATTCCCGATGTAAACTGCATTTGCAATATTTGCAGCAATAATTCTTTGCGGATCATAAAATTCAAGAGTGCTGGAAAAATCGTATTATATTTGTCATTTATGACTCGCCGTCAGCGGAATCGAAAGAATTAATGTCAAAAGGTATAGATTTTTATTCGAATAAATAAATATGCTTTAGGTTGACCACGCGTATTTATTTTCCCTCCGATTTACATGGCATATTTCTCGCGTGCCTGCGCGCGGACGTTTCGTTTCAATAAATTTTCATCGCGATAGGATTGGCTTCATTTTTCCATCGTGTGATTTGCCGCGGCTCGACGCGACGCGGCTCTCACGGGGGAATTTTTATATCGACTGTAAATATCCGTGTATAAAATACGAATGTTGACAATTTCGTGATAACGGCGATATGCCCAGAGTAATAGTGGTCGCGGATAAATTGTAAAACGCAAACTGCCATAAATCCAACAACATGATCAGTACGAGTTTTCACGGCAGATATTGAAGGCATGTAAAACCCCGAAGCCGGTTCGAAAATGCCCTTTTTCCCCCGCGGTATTTACCGCAGTGTACCGTATAGCGCGTGTAACTTTAGCCGTGGAATCTCGTCCCCTCTTCAAATGGCGCTGATTTGTCAATAGGTGTACAAGCGAAGATCCCGCGACATGGAGACGGAAACGGACGAAGATCTGCTGCAATTTCCCACCGGTGGATCGCTCAACGCGTCAAGCGGTTCGCTGTCCAGCGTATCGCTGTCCGACAAGAGCATGTCCACGGACAATGTCGAGGAATACTTCGGCGACGTGCCGTTTGCAGGTAAACAGCAACGCACGCTTGGCTGCACCGCATGACGCTTCTTTCTGCCCACGTGTACATGCATAACCGTTGTGTTACGTTTCTGTCTTTTTACCGTCTGTCTGAAACACCGCTAACGCGACGATTGGGAACGTTGCTCTGGGGGAAATATGCGCACTAAAGCAAAAGTCTCTCGACTTTTCTCGCGTTTAAGTACGCAATGTGTTCGTTGATACGTATTGTATATTGATAAAAACGAGCAAGGAGGCTGTAAAGCGAGTTGTACATATGTATAGTGTCACCTATAAAAAAATCATGGTGTTGATGTTTCAGTAATTTTTACGTATATATTAAATTACTTTCATCCTCGTTGTTGTCGACATTAACATTTATACGTGGTGTTCGTGCCGCGTATATAAACAGCACAGTATTTTTATCTCACAAAAGGTTTGGACAAAATGGATGTAATAACGGCATGAGGACAGAAATCGATATTATTTTTTTACCCTTTATTTGCTTTCATTTCATTATCGTTCGGTGTATACGGATATATGGGATAAAGAGAGATTGGAATATTACACAAAGACCTGATTCTTACTCGTACAATAAAATATACGTTAGGAGAGCAGCTGGTCTGCGTAACAGTATCTAGAAAATATATTCTAAGAATAATTGTGTAAATATATATACATACATTGTTTGCAATTAAAATTTATCCCAACAATAGCTTGGTACATGTAATTGATTACCTAAGCTCGTCGGAGAAGTTGAGATGATAAGAGGACTTCATTAAAAGAGACATACTTTGCATATTATGGCACAAACTATAAAGTATCGAGAGTTATTTATATGCGCGCATGTACATGCCCCACGATATTTGATCCGCCCAAATGATATTTATATTTCCATTATCCGTTTTACGGAGTATTTTATCCGTGCACTCGCCCTTTTGTAATGCCGTACCAAAACGAACCTTCCGAGTCTGCTCCCGAAAGAATAGATAAATCACGCGGGGCGGTTTTCTCCCTCCCCACAAAAGAGAGAACGTTCCGTACAGCGTCGCGACGTAGATCTTCCTCGGCTTGATCGAGCCGGACGTACTTTAGCGTCAGGAACACCGAAAAAGAAGTCCGAATTTTTCGTCGGTCGTGTTTCGGCAGATCGGAAGTAGTTCGTGGATCTACTTTATCGAAATTCCCTCTGTTTCTCTTTGATTTTGGGCGGCGTCGATATGGGATCCGGTCGGCGCATCTGTGTTTCCCCTTCTCCCTCCACCCCCCCCCCTCCCGAAACGCGATGGTTCCGGTTTTCCTACGGTAATAAAATTTGTCGGTTCTGGATTTCAATCTTTGCCGACGCAAAGCGAAAGACGTGCCGCGCAAGCACAATCGTTGCGCAAAAAGCTAACGATCCGAGTTCGTTATTCGGGACTAGCTCCGGTGCACCCTGTTATCGATGGTTATTCCTGGTTAATCTAATGGATTAGGCGAAGTCCTCCGTAGCTAACGATAGAAATCTCGAAAACAGAGTGTTCGTCGTGTTAGAAATGTTAGAAATATTAGGGATTTTTTGCGCATGTTACGGTTAGAGAGATATTAATAGTTCCTTAGATTGTATACTTATTACAATTGCAATGTATACACATCGATAGTCGCTTTATCACATATCTTCACTTTTGCCTTCGCCTCAATATGTCAACAATGTATGCGAGATGAATCAAATTTCGATTGCGCCATATGTTACTTGATATAAGTAGTAAATATAGCTAGTCTATTAGAGAATCGTTGTCACATATATAACATCTCTCTCTGGAAATATTTAATTCCAATAATTAATTACATATCCAAAAAATAAGAAATATAGTATATATCGATCTTGTACGTTTATCTCGCGTTACTAGCATTTAATAAAATTAAATTATTTTATATTATTTTATTTTTTTTATATATATAATGCGTCTAATGGTTGATATTTCATGATATTTATGATGAATTATGAAGTATACAACATTTGCATGTCGACTGTGCAACTTAATGCATTTAATGCAGAAAGGTAACTATAAGAAAGGCTATAAATGCTTGAAAGAAATTTAAATTAAAGATTTAAAAGACTGGAAATTATATCGCAGTGAAGAGAGTTTTGTTATGTTTTTTAATTAAAATTATATGAATAGATATATTTAAAAAAAGATATTCTATAGATATTATATAATAAATTGTTTATATGTAGATTTGGATTACCATGTATTTTTATTGAGCCATATATTAGAGATATATATTAGAGATCTGATTTTGATATTTCTTTTTTTTTTATATTAATTATACGATATTTATTCAAAATGTCTCTTCAAATAATCTCTATAACATTGCTAGAACTGACAATGAGTAGTATGTCTTCTTCCCAATTAAATGGCATATCTTACGATAATAATAATATTAAATATCAACAATATTAATTGCATAATTTTTATCTTTATTATATACAAATTAATTGTTATGCATGCAGCATACATACAGTATGATCATATATTTATTCATTCCAAGCGTAATAATTGCAGATTAATTATGAATTAATAAACTTGAATTGTGATCAATTCTGTGATTTTCTGATATCATTTTCGAATATACTTAGAAATATTTATCAGACTCTAAAATAAGAGACAGTTGTCATCTGTTAGGTACATTGAATTCGGTCTGGTAATATTATACCTTATTTTGCGACTGATTTAATATTTTATTTTGCGTCGAATGCTTCGTCTAAATATTATAATGGCTCAACCTCTGTGTATACGTATATAAAATTATATATGCGCGATATATTTACATTTTAAATTTAAGCGATTATAATATCCTTCATGTGCTAATAAACGTGATGCTGCTATTGTATGCGATGTCTTGAGTCATTTTGTCGCTTATGTCTCTCCTCTGAGCTTTCGCATAATTTTTTTATCCTTTATAATGCCGTTGTAGTTTGCAGATTCAATACCCTTTTTACTATAATCTTAATTATTCAGTCATAAGAGACCGACATAATAGACCATGCGATCGTATTTTAATACTTTTTTTTTCCAAAGATCCCGTCCCAAATAACAGGATATAAATAAGATTTTCTGCAAGATAAGTTTGTCTTAATCATTTCTAATGAAGTCAGTTAAAAAAATTTTTTTAAATTGTTTGAGTATTTAATTTTATCGATAATGAAAATTTTTTCCGTCGTTATCTTGTATATATTCCAAGAAAGTACGCGAGTGTAAAAAAACACGTTACATTTTGATTGTAAGTCCCAGCACAATTTATAGCAGTACATTTGAAAATATCACTTTTCGATATATTTCCAATTAATCCAGAATGCATTGATATTTTCAGATTAACCCTGAAATATGTAAATATATGGACTAGAAATAACAACTTGACTAAACACATTTGCCAAGAGAAAAACGTATTTAATTTTCGGCAAAATATTATTTATGATATTGTAAAGAATCGCGCTGCGTTTATATACTTTATATATGCATGTTTTGCGATTTATTTAACTTCTGTGGCTGCATAAACTGGATATTATATGTGATTTTTAGTGATCAACTGCGTGTGGATAGTCTTATATATCGTCGTGTATATTTGTCGTGTCCAGCGTGAGTATGAAGCGTGCGATTAAACCGCGCAAAAAATGATACTACAGCGTATATTGTGACGAAAGATAAAAGTGGAGCAAGGTGAGTCTCCGTGAATAACACAATGTTTTATCAGACTTACTTCGCTGGTCTGTCACCTGTATGTACATGATGACAAATTATGCAACTTACGTACTTTAAGTTACTTTTTTTTACTTCGCGCGAAATCATTTTTTTTTATTCATATAACATATACGAAATGTGCATCTTTCTCAAAATCTACGTAAGCGATGTGACACGATTACGCAACGTACATTCTTTGACAAAAACAGTTACGCACGTATATATACAGTGCGTAATTTTTTTTATCAAAGCATGTATTTCTCTCACACTTCATGCGAGTATGCAGAAACTCAAAGTGGATACACATTGATATCTACTGATTCACTTTGTCAGATATCTAAGGGGCTCTTTATCAATATCGTATTGTTATCCATCTGCAACTTTCCTCAAGATAAGAGCAAGATTTATACCTTCTTCCGCTATCAAGTGAATCAGTTGCCCTAGGTTATATGAGATTACTTGTAGATTTATTTATTCAGCTATTTTTTGTTCATATTTTTTATTTATACATATTATTATATAACAGTTTATTATTATGATAAAATGCATACCAAGAATTTCATTGAAAAAATAATGATATATACAGATAAGATAATTAGTGAATATATCATCTCAGAAATGTTTATGATTGAAGAGGCTATATCATTAATAATTACAATGTGTTTTAATACGAATCGCGTTACACTTGATAGCTGGTAAGTGGACGATTAATATGTTGCTTGCAGTAAGACGAACGACATTATGACATCCGGTAGGGATACGTGTTACAAGCGAATACCAACCGTGCGTTCCCAACCGCATTAACTTGTAATAAGATACGGCAATTGCACACAGACATACGTACGCGATCGTTTCACATGGCAATTCTAACCGATAAATGTCGCGACAAATTAATTTGATATTAAAAATTTATTATTTTTTATTTCTCATGTTCTATCTGTAATATTTACATTTTAAAGAAATGTTGTTCTAATTCTCTTTTTAAAACTCATTTAAGCTCTATAAAATAATCAATCTTAATTATCGCTATTTCATAACTTTCTATCTTGAAACACATTCGATGATCTTAAGATATCTATTCAATAACAATTTAAATTCTAAATTACTTCGGTCTTATCAAAGAACGAAACGAGCGAACCTTCGTAGAAGTGAATATTAATGTGCATGGTTATTGCACTCTGTCTCACGGTACAAAAATCAGCTCGTGGCTCTTAATCCGTCTCGTCGGAAGAGAGGCAGAACCGGAATGCACTTTCAGGCAGCTAGTTAACCCCGCTCATTGTGCTCCGTTTACGACCGTAACGGAAAAGTATGTGACCTGCCTTTTGTCGTCGTCGGAAAAAAAACACTAAACTCTATGCACGAAATTATAGGATCCCCTTTCGCTGCAATTATGGATTTAGCGCTGCGAAAATAAGTCACCATTGTTCTAGGATAGTCGACCTCCCGTTTGCGACCCCGTTTGCCGGTTCGGCGATAGCGCGCGATGGCATTCGATAACGTCTTCAATGCCTGTTCCGCTTCTCGTCGCGCCGCGAAGGAACGCGTCGATTATTAGGGTCAAATCTTTTCGTTCGCGGTGAAAAATTGTGTTGGCATAATGAGCCACGCGTATGTGACAAATTACGTTTCCACTGGACGTCACGAAAGGTCATTCTTCATTAGTTATGTTCGCTCGTCATTGGTAATTCCATAAATTATGAGCGCTGCGCACTTTGCCATTAGCGACGCTTTCCATTCGGCAATGAATGTCTTGATCACTGAACCGGTGATTGATTCGCATTGACTGTACAAAATTGTGCGTCTATACTTAACGATTAATTTAAATTTTGTGTTTCAAAGCGACGGACACAATTTGGCAATTAGGCAATTGACTTTAAAAAGAAGCTTGTATATAATATTATTTCCAGAGTAATATAATTAAATATTTTTTAAATTTTTTATTCTTTAAAGGTATGTTTATCTTTATAAAAAAATAGATACATATAAAAAAGATTCGAACAATCGAATAAAATTGAAAAATGAAAAATAATTTCGAAATAATTTCAAAATTCTCATATATTTCTTCTCATATATTTTCTTCACATATTAAAGTTCATAAAAATTTTAGTAAAAATATGTAGATTGTTACTCAAAGAATCAACAGTATTTTTTTTCTATAGACACATATTGACTTCATATCGTAACGATCTTTGGAATTAATAGAGGCCACTTTGAGAGTGGCAACTCCAACAAAATCGAAGGTCTGTTTTGCGGCTATCGCTAACGTGTCAACCATATCGCGCGTTTAGTAGAAAACGGTGACTCGCATTCAGGAAAATGAAACACTTTGCTCGGTTTACTTCTAGGCGGTCGCTTGACCACCGCCGGCGCACGGGAGTCACATGTGTGCGTGAGGCCACATTATGACATCACGCAGGAATGTGTGGACCGTGGGATGTGACTCACGCGATATCAAGTCGCTTCGTTCTTTTGGCGGCAGGGCTTCGGTTCGAGACGATCATTCGTCGCGTCAAGAACTCGCGATTAATCCGGGTACTCATGGAATACTTACAATTACAAGTGACAGGCCGTGATACGTGCCGCAATCATCAACAGACGGCGTTGAGACATAGCAGAAAGTTATCTCGTGGCCTTAATCAGTGATTAGTCAATCGGCAATTAGCTCCCTCGTTATGTGAAATTTCCTGTCATTCACGTACGATTTCCCCCGTGATTTTAAAAGGTATACATGTGCAGCTATACCTGTGTCTATGCGCGTATGCATTTGTCTCTCTGCATAAGGAGTAAATTTTAAGGCTCGATAATTAAGGCTTCGGTTCGTATGTCTCTCTCCCTCCCTCTCTCTCTCTCTCTCTATCTCTCTCTCTCTTGCTGAGACATGCGATTGGTGCTGTTGACAAAATGAGTACTCGTCTGAAACCTAATTGCGGTGGGAAAAGAACGAGCTTCGCGTGTAAACGCGCACGCGCGCAATGTGCAGCATTTTGATGCGTGATTATACTGTTTTCACCGAGTTCAGGCTGCATTAGTCATGACCTCCAAGAAGTCTCCTAGAAAAGCGGACTAATGAATTTATCGACTGCATGGCACCAGCTTGTCGCCTACGTGAGATAAGGCCCCATTATAATTATAAGGCACGTATAGCGTCTTGATAACAGATATATAGATTATTTACCTTTAGCGCTAGAAGATAAAACGCATCGATATGCATATTGTAATTTCGGATAACGTGAAACTCGAACGTATAACGCTACACCGATGAGACTGCAGTGAATACGAATTAATTAACATGCGCGTGAAAACATGGCGTTACATCTGACAGTCTCATTTCACCTAGATCAATATCTATTTTCTGTTCATTAACATGACAATGGTCAAGTCTGGTCAAGACGCGATAAGACACGGCTTCTCCGCAAGCGTACTCGACGCGTCAGTATTCATTGCGCTATCATCTTGATACTTCTTGTCAGGTTCGTGTTAAGGTTTCCGAGGTCCCCTAAAACTCGAAATAACGCGTTTCAACGTATTTAAATTCAGAAAGCCTGAATATTGCCGATGGAGAATGAATTTAAGTAGAATACGAATAGGCGTGTTTGACCTGCGTGTACATGTTATTCCGCAGGTTTTACCCGAGACGTTTAGCTGACGGACGATTCGTTCGTGAAAGCGCAAACGGATGTGGACTGTCATCTTTATTGGCGCCGGCGTGTCAGCGTTATGCATACGAAGAGACTTTATAATCGCAACATGACCTCAGCAAGAGGCCAGTCGCTTTTACTCAAATTGAGCACTATGACTCACTTCGATCGCGAGGCGACCGCAAAATTTTTTTCGAAAATATAACGAAGGTACAGTCGCGATTAATTGCACAACACAATCGAGTTCGTTTCAACCGCATAGTCACGTCCGCATAGTAAACGTACTTCAGCAAGATCGTGGTCGACGGTCGATAGAAATCCCGATCAGAGGAACCTTTTTCGACGCTGCAAACCGTGACAGTCGTGCAGTCAGTTTTACGTAAGCTGCTCAAAGAGATCTATTTTTATTTGCGAATTTTTTGGCAGAACTCCATCGTATCTCCCTTCGTACGTACTTCGACAAAAGTGTCGATTAGAGAAAATAAATGACCGCGTTTCGATAACGGAAATTACGAATTATTATCTTCGTTAACAAAATAATAATACTGAAAAAGTGACTTTATTCATAAAAACTCCGAATCGCACGGAGTTCTGCAACACTTCGATAAATATCGGAATAACCAGACAATGTGAGAGAAAAAAATGCCCCTCGAGATTTCGTATACTTCTCTTTCGGTACACCATCGGCGTCTACACGAAAATGAATACCCCAAAGCAATTTCGTTTGTTGCGTGTTACCATCAATAATAAAGGCAAAAAAAAGGAAGGATGATCGAGTGCGCTGGTAGCGAGCAAGATGGAAGGGCAAGATCGGAGAGGTCCTCGTCCCACCGCCAGCAAGTGCAGCAAGTGTAATTTCGGGGGCCCGGGGTTCCGGAGAACGATAGTCCCATCTCTGAGGTCATCTTTCCACGCTACCATCACGCTGGGCCCGCTGCACCAACACGAGCATCGCACGGCCCCGCTCTCTCGGTCCTCGTTCTCCTTCTCTTTCTCTTTCCGGGTTCCTTCCGCGCTGTCCCTCTCGCGCGCGTTATTATTGTCGATCGGGAGTGTGCGGGTGGCGAGAGAGGACCGAGGTCTGTTCTCGCCTCCTTCCCCGCCGTCTTTTACGCCGGCCACCACCACCGCCGCTGTGCCGTCGCGACCACCTCCTCCTCGTGGACCTAACACGTTCGAATTAGTCGTCTCGTTAACCAGACTCGTGGCGCAACGAAGAGCCCGGCGCGTACGCGTCGCTTGACCGATTTGCCGTAAAGCGACACGAAGTCACGAGCGCCCGAAAACCGTGACTTGCAGTTCCGACCGCGCGTTTGGTCTTCGACGTCTTTCCGAGAGCGCGGAATAATCGAGGAATTTTACGAACATATAAAATCGATTGTAAAATCAAGTGGAAGATCAATGCTTCTCGATATCGCCGATATACGACAATGGATTGTCATACGACCATGCCGGTCAACGACCATGAACGTCCTTGAGTAGGTCAGTCGTGTTGATTACAGTCGACCTCTGGATGAATTAAGTCATATACCTGCGCCGACATTTCCGACCTTCCGGGGGCGTTAATTCGAAGTAGAGTTCCCACGTTTATCGCAAGTGCCGGTTAAAGGGAACAACGAACTGAAACGAGATTTCTAACATGCGTTCCCAGGTGGAAGATATTGTCGACGACTCTTGGAATAATTAACTTCGAGCTCGTTCATTACCGTGAATGTCGGGCTGAATGAAGTTCCGGTTGGAATCCCGAGGAAGAGCTCGCCTGGAATTCGTCGTTCCGACGAAGTGACACGCCGCTCACGTGCTCGCGCGCGAGGTGGTGGGGAATCTATCGTGATTGCTCGCGATCGAGCAGCGCGATCGTTTTCTTCAGTGCCGTGCCGATCGATCAGACAGGTGGATCGAGGTGGATCGTGTGCGCGGGGCGTGCCGTACGATCGGTCAGAAAACTGTTGCCGGCCGGTAGTTCGTTCGTTCGTTCGTTAATCGGAGTGAGAGAACATTTCGAGGGGTGTACGTGTTCCTCGCGTGAGAAAGAGACGTGCATTGAGGTCCATTTGGAGCGAAAGAGAAAGAAGGATACAGACGACATTGAGAGACGAGGAAAGGAGAACGCACGTCGAAGAGCATCGATAGTAGGGGGATAGTGGACTTTTGCGTCCGTGGGTATGTGCCTTCTTTTATGTGTTTGTGTTTGTGCGAGTGAGTGAGTGAGTGAGTGAGTGAGAGAGAGAGAGAGAGAGTGTGTGTATGTGTGTGTGTCTATGTTCTGCCACGTGCACTCCACAGAAACATTACGTGTTCAAAGTTCCTGGCGTGCCTCGCAAAAAGCACGATACTTGTTGCTCGTTACGCTGCTTGATGTTATAATAGTTTGTCCTCGGTGATTGTGTACGTCACGAAAGGCAGCCGAAAAGAGGAGTTTAAAGGGAATTTACAAGAGTAACAAAGCTGTTTTTTTAGCTTGCACCTGTGCAAAGCTATTGTAGCGCGATAAATACATACGATATATAGAATCCAATAATGAATTATGTCATATCATATATAACAGCTGTAATATCAGCTGAAATAAATAAATATCTATTTATTTCTATAACAGCTGTAATATAATTTAAATATATTTGTTTTTATACAGCAGTATTATCGGTGCTCTTCCTAATTTAACAATTTTTCGAATTATATGTATACTCGATTTCACTACGATAAATTCTATTAAGAAATCCAAACGCATTCATTTATGCCCCGCATAAGGAAAGCGCGAGTAGATAAAAAAAAAGAGAAAGCTAGACAAAAAGTAATCCGTCTGTAATGAAACAGGTTCTTTTATTTCTTTCTTTATTTACGATCTGGAAAAGAATTTACAGCAAAAATACGTATCGAGATTGAATTTAAATTTACTGGTAAAATTAAACAAATTTAACTGTTCGCAAAACGGTTTTGCAATTTGCTCTTACAAAGAATATGATGTTGATTTGTCTCCATAAGAAACTAACGGTTTAACTTTAACAATCAATACTATGTAACAAGGGACTTTCCCGCTGAGTGTTATTCGCCCCGTTTATTTTAGACTTGCGATTCTGTTATTCTTGGGCGGCATTCTATCTTTAGTTCTGGCACACGTCTTGCCATAAGTGTTACGTTATAATCCTATAACTTGCGAGTATTAGATACACGTGATATTAAGAACAAACCCATTATGTCAAAGCAGAAATATGAGGCGTCCTAATTTTTCACTAACTGATTCATTATGCACAGTCGCCCGAAAAAGTTTCAGCCCGCGATATTTCGACGGAACAATATCGCTCTGCGTGCTCTTTCGCGTTTGAGGAAAAATATTTTGCCAGTCGCACATATAGCAAGAGTTATTGTTTCAAAATTTTGCTTTCACTACTTAATGAGTACGAATGTAAAACAATGCTGCTATGCATATAAAATTAAAAGTTGGATACGCCGCAATAATATAAATAAAGTGTAATCTCGTGTCTGCTACACACTTAAAACTATAGCAGATGAAATTTTGATCGGCCAATTACTACTCGGGCACATATTTGAGACAGTGTGTAAATATAATATTATTTCGAGTCAATATGAAATACGTAGAAATAAACAATGTTCTGGCTTTCACTTTTATTTTCAATGCCAATGTCTATAATGCCAATAATCTAACGGAAATTTGCATCTAAATACATTAAGCAGTAGATTGTTTCTTTGGATCGTCTGTTCTTGCGAAATTTCCATCCATGAATAATTGAGTACGGCGATATGAGGACGGAAATCGTCGAAGGTTTTCAGTCGAGCCCACATCACAATCGCGGGGCACATCATTCTCATTCGATTCTCGTTCGAGTTTAGCATTAGCGCTTCCTATGACGACAGCCTTTCACAAAATGATTTTGCGCGCTATACGCTCGTCTCAATGTCAACGGCAATCGAGTGCGACAACACGTTGACTGGAAAGTTCGAGTAACTAATTAGCGATTACCATGTAATCGACGGTTAACACATAGAAAACCGATACCAGCAATCGCTTGCGATGCGACACGCCTCTTGTTTGATGTAGATAACGATTATCTCTGAAAGATAATCCGCCCAGCGGGTCAGACAAAGAATCTCGGAATCCAAGATTACTGACGTTGTATATTCTAGTTACTTCATAAATAATAATTATATACGACGAAAAAAATATATTTCGCGCGAGATTTTAAATGTTCAATATTTTGAGTAAAAAGTCTTTTAAAATAATAATTAGATATATAATAATTTTTTCTAATTATTATATATATTTATAAAATAGTAATTGATGCACTATTGGCTAAAACGTAAAACATGTAACATAAATACACAACGCGAAATACACAGCACAAATAATTTCGGCTACAAGTTCATACACGAAACTTACATTGCGCATCGACGATATGCAAGGTCAGTAATTATCCGCTGCAACCGCGTTATCGCTTGCGTAAATCGTTGGTTTCACTGCAAGCCGCGATTTCACGGGAGTTGTAATTTATCCAAGAATTCATCGCACCTACAGCCAATTGGGTTTAATTGATTGTACGTGGATTTAATTCAACTAAATGGTAATACTCTGCGGTGCGTGACAATAGCGCGTATTAACGCGTTAATCATTTCTCGGCGTCTATGTAGTCTCGCAATCGAGGGAATAATAGTAATATTAGGAAGTCTTTGTTACTTAATAAGATAAATGAGCTGATGGGAGCTAATAATACTCCCGAGAATTGGATGAGGGCCGAAGTAATTTATGGATGATCGCGCGGCGCCTTATATGATCCGCAGAATTTCATCTGTGGATCAACAAGCAACGTTGAGGAACTCTTATATCCGAAGTTTGCTTTAATATGAACTAAATTTCCATCTGTATAAAAGTATTAAAAACACATGCACAAAGATACATTATTTACAAAAATATAGAATAAAATAATTTGGTAAAAACAATTTTTATTAATTGAAGCAGCTAAAATACCGCGAGAAATTAAAATCGACTCTTGAATTACCGCAATATGGAAATTAATTTGCACCGTTATACGGTTCTTTGCGGATGCTGTCCGTGACCTGTTGGTATTTATCTGCAGGCAGAACTTCGGTTTTTATAATCCTCTATCCGACGATTTGCGATGTAAGACCGAACGGGTTTATTGCGGATTTTAATAACTTTTCCGATCGATCTAATAGGTGCGCGGGTAGGAGCACCGATTTAAAATGTGTAATGGCGTATCGTTTACGAGTCTCTTAACGATCATACATTTTTAATAATCCCTAAAATCCCTCTCTTTCTTTCTAAAGATCCAGAACTCGTGCGGCACAGGCACTTATTTACGCAAGAATTATTTTGATGTTTATAGTCTATGAGATTTGTTCGCGGATTTTTCTTTTAATGGACCGCATGAAAATTTCCGTAACGAAAAGAGAGAATTAAGACAAGCAGAAGTAACGCACTTTTCTGTTACAAAGACGAGATCACAATGATTACAATTAAAACGCAATTAAGAGTCATATGAATACTAAAATATTATTAAGATATAAATTCAAAACTGACAACTAATTTCTTTAAATTATCTTATCGTTAAACTTATAATTTGTTTATTATAAAATTGTATAACATAATAGTGACACTGAATCATTACATTTATATTTATGGTGTTAAATAGTTCAAGAATAAATTTTAAAATTTTCTAAGTTCTTTAAGAATCTATATAAGTTTAATATGATTAATTTATTATTTAATTAATTTATTAATTAATTTGTCAAAACTGTGATTCTTTTTATATTTTTATACGAGACGTGAAGATCTATAAAAGATTTTGGTAACATAAAAACTCGAAGATGTTTGGTCGTTACACTTTATCTGCGAAGCTAAATAGACAAATCAGTTCTTTAGATGATGGTTGAAAGGGACGAGCAAACGGAGGACGGAAAAGGCGAGAATTTATGTAGTAATTTGTGTATATGACTTGAATAACTACCTACATAATATAACGTGGCTGAGGCTGGAGAGCGACGACGGTAAGCAGACGACGCCCTCCGCGATGGAGCTTTAATTAAAATTACGTACGTTTGCCTCTCGTAACGTGCACACGCGTTACTCTCTCGCCTTCTCCTCGCTTCTATTTTATATTTTTATGAGCTTTTCATTAAGAACGCGCGTGTGTCTGAGCGTGTGTGTGTGTGTGTATGTCGCTTGTGTGTGCAAAACACACGTCGTGCACAGCGTATTCTCGGAGGAGCGGAGGACGTCTTTGAAAGAGCATTCGTGGTGGCGGTGGCTTAAATTGGTCCTTTTTCTCTTCCCGTCCACCGTTACTGCCGGTGAATCCTCATTTGCGGAATTCGTATGAAGGAATTTCTATCGCGCGCTTGCGGGTCGTCGATTGTCGCGAATAACGAATCGTCCCTTGTAGGGACGCCACGACGCGAGGCCAGTAACAAGCGCCTCTTTTACGCGGGATGCGTGGGGCCGTGATAAATGAGCGAAGGACCGTAGAAAGGAACGAGAAAAGAGGGAAATTGGGAAATTATTCGCACCTGTGTGATGTGAAGGAATGCAGTTCCTGAGTGCTTGAGGGGAAATTATGAGAAGAGATCATACGTTGAATATCTTTTCACTGCGCGGAGAGAAAGTATGTGTGGTACCCGTATAAGGAAGCAAATATTTTTCCTCCCATTCAGAGAAATTTTATTATAATTTAGCAGAAATTACATCTGAATGAGCATAAAATTCAATTTTTTTATTTCTTTTTACGCTTAGAGCCTTTTTGATTGATATCATTCGTTTATCGATTTTTTTTTTACACGAAAGATAACGTATAGTAGCTCACAAAACCAAATCACAAATTCGAAATTGCTAAAGCTTCTTGTCGACATAATTGTTTAACGATCGTGATGTCACGAGACAGTCTTGATTGCCCTCCGGACTAATTCTCTTGTCGAGACAATGACACATCTACAATGAATATTCAACGTATCTGTAAATTCACTGGCTTGTGCTGCATATGCATTATGAAGACTTGGTATAGACAATGATAATTGACATGTCCGCGAGGCTTGGAAGGACTGTTGAAATCGCAGAATGCAGAACAACCAATTGACGCAAAGTTTGAAGTACGCTATAGATCAGCTCAAGATTTTCGTTGAAGTCATTGCAATAGAATACAGCATTTGCATTTGTGCAAAGATAAAAATTTCTTCTGTGTGCTGGTATTTTTAAAGTATATAAGTAACTTTAACGGATAAGTTCCTTGACAAATGAGAGAATAGCAATAATGTTCACCAAATTACTCTCTAAATTTTTTGGAGTGAAATTTCACTCTAAAGAGTGAAAATATTGCCACTCAAGTGGCCGAGTGACAGTATTTTCGCTCTTTTGGAGTGAGATTTCACTCTTTTGGAGTGAGATTCACTCTAGAAAATTTAGAGAGTAAACAAATCGCAGAAAGTAAGCGATTTTTATTTTTTTTTTGTCCGAAAGTACGACTTTTTGAAATTTGTATTTAAAAACACTGTAAATTCGAACGAACGATTATCAGAGCGTGAGGAAGAAAAGCGATTGCGAGGTAGTAATCTGTCGGCGTGCCGATAGGTTTGTTAAAGGGCTCCGTCACGGCTGAACGGCCGCGTACCTTGCGCCGCTTGCGGAACGTCTACGGTCAGACCGCATGCGGGATGGGAACCGGCGGCGACGGCGGGGGCGGAGATCGTCTCGAGGACGGCGAGGTCGCCTTACGGCTTACCGGCGACCGGGATCGCGACAGGGACGAGAAGTCTCTCAGCATAATGAGTCCCTTCGACGAGCAGGAGGAATGGGCGAAGATCTCGGAGATCATGGCGTCATTCGGAACTGGTCTTGTACGAGAGTCGGTGTTCGTCAGCGAGCTCGAGAAAGAATTCCAAACGAGGCTAGGTAATCTTATCGCCGTGTCACGCTCCGCTTTCAACGGCGAAGGCATTGATCTTGAGCGATTTCTCGATCCTAAATTCATACGTGTAGTGGCTCGCGTATTCTATCCGAGGAAATCGTCCGAAATCATTTTACTCTATTTCTCACGTAACTAAAAAAAAATTTCTTTTTAATATCACACACTTTTTAACATTTAAAACCGACGTTCTTGCCGTGACAAAAAGTTACAGAAAAATATTACTTTTTTTTATATCTTAGGTTTAAGTTCGGACAGTAGCAGTCCCGTTGTTTCTACAACTGTGGGCCAATGGCTGTCCAGCTTAGGTTTCGCGGATTACGAGTCTCTCTTTGTTAACTACGGCTACGACGATCTCGAGTTCATAGTGAGTATAGACATGTATCTTGTCGGCGTTGCGCGATTGCGATCGCGTGAGACACGCGGGGAAATCGTTTAATTGCGCGCGGTTGCAGAACGGGGTGTTGGACGAGTCGGATTTGTGCGACATGGAGATCAACAGCGAACAGGAGCGGGCTGTGATCATGGACGCGGTCGGTTTGTTGAATAAACGAGTGGAAAAGCGTAGCGGCCACGGACAATCGGTGGAGGAGTGGCTGAAGAGCATTCACATGGAAAATTATGCGGAGACATTCAGGAAGCACCTGTACACCGACATGGATCGGGTTAGACGGATCTGGGAGGTCGAGCTGGCGGCAGTCCTCGAGATCCAGAAGCCGGCGCATCGCAAACGCATTCTCGCGTCCGTGAGCGGCCCGAACAGTGCACGCGCGCAAACTCGAAACGGCACCGGAGCGAACTTGGAAGATCTGAATAAGGATCTCAACACACTGGTAAGTGGCAGATTAATTCTCTTCTACAATAGTATCGTAATGCAAAATTACTTCCTTTTGCTCTAAATGAATTTTAAAACTTTGTTTAAAATATTCCGTGCTTCTTTGAGAAAATTTATGCAATTCCTACACAAATAATTAATTGTAGGAATCAACACAAATAAAAAATTATAAAAAGTTAAGATTAAGCTTATCAATTAAAAAACAGTCGAGAAAATAGTTAAAAAGCATATATACCGAAAACAGAAAATAAACTTTCGCGCCATCGATAAATCAAGTATCAAAATCCGTTGTCTTGCGAACCGATACATTGTTAGGATCGGTGAACGAAGATAATACGTTCAACAGGGGTGTCTGACAAGAGCGCACACTTTCGCCGGGCAAGGGTAGGATGCGCAGCGTCGAGGGCGGGCGGTGATGTGGCAAGCTCGATCGCTCCGGACGCGCTTTCGCTCGATCGCGTCATAATGTAAATATCGTGGCTAATTGGAGGCTCGGTATTGTGATGCACGCGTATACATGTGTTCTCCCCGAGATGATCGTTCAAACGCCTCTCGATGCTTTTTGTTCGGATGCCTTCACCATGTCAGGCGTCGATAAGTAACATCTCGCTGCTCACCCGCATCTCTCTCTCTCTCTCTCTCTCTCTCTCTCTCTCTCTCTCTCTCTCTCTCTCTCTCTCTCTCTCTCTCTCTCTCTCTCTCTCTCTCTCTCTCTCTCTTCCCCCTCTCCGCTCGTGTCCTCTTAATTAGCTCATTAAATCCCGTAAACGTGTCCGACGACCGAATTCGTTCGGCTCGCGTCATCCCCGCGTTCGATAATCCCGACAAATTGGTCCCTTCTGCCCGTTTCAACCAGTCTCTTCCCTCCCGTGATTTTTCGCAGCTATCGAACCCGACGAACCATAGTTTGACTACGGCACTCTCGCTGGTAACGCCCGCGGATTTTCGTAGTTCCATACGCTCTCCAACATTCGAATTTCACATGTTCTCTCTCTCTCTCTCTCCCCTCCTCCCTCTTTCTCTCTCTTTCTCCATCACTCTCGCGTTTTCATTTCGCCTCCCTTTCGTTCGAGTCTTCTGCAATTTGTCGCAATAGCGATACCCGGAATTATATGCATAGGCCAGATGGAGCGAACGATTCGGGTTGTAATCCGAATTCGAGTGTCGCGCCCGCCCGACTCGAATCCAATTTGTTTGCAATAGCTGAAATGTCGCGACTATCGACGCCACATGATTCAACGTTTTGGCACAGCCGGTAAAAGGTTTCTTTCTGGTGTAACGATTTACAACACAAATGCGTTTACGAAGGTAATTACACGTTGCACAAAGTAAACTCGGGACGAATTCGACTTGGTAATATGCCGTATAAAAGTTTCGGATGGTGCAATATTTTTTTCTTTTTTTTTTTTACATTGTACATGGCCTAGCGTTTCGTTAAAGCCGGTTGGTCCAGCAGATTCTTGTCATGATAAAGCTATAAAAAAATTCTGCCAGAGAAATTGCAACCTCGGGGCAGACAGACATGGCAGTTTTCTATTCGAAATTGCACGGAAATTGGTCTGTAAGGGGGAATGTAAAAACTCAACTTTGGTATGTAATTTTTTTGTTACGATTGCACGAGAGGCGGTAAATTCGAGCGATTTTAATATTTTCCGCAAAAATAAAAAATTTGTCGAAAAATATAAATATTCTGCACTTTTAAATAACACAGTAGACGAAAATTTATTATTATCTATTATATATAGTTATTTCCTCGGTTATTTCGCAATTCAGGCACTCAAGGCACACGAGATTACGTATTCCGCGAACAAACGAATCTAAACTGTGCATCAGTCTCCGACTAAATTCGGGATCGCCGGTCGGACGATCCGTTTGGCATGCGTGGAACGGCACTCAAATCTGGTTGCTCGAATGTTATTTCCGCAGAAGACGAACATACAGCAGCTGAAGGAGGAGATACGGGAGAAATTACCGGAAGCAACGGCGGAGGGTAATGGAGGCACGTCGATAACCGGTGGCACGAATTCGGCGGCCACGGGCACATTAAGGCATCGCAAAAACAGGCCGGCGCCCCAGCCACCCCAGCGACCCAGTTCGCATAATGGGGCGATTTCGGCGCCGGAACAACTCGAGATCAGGGCTCCGTCCGAGCTGCTTTTTGGAGTGCCCTCCACCCTCAAGACGCAATGGAGGCATCAGCCGAAGGCTCTAGTCACCGGCAACGTCACGTACGTCGCTAACGTAAGTGCCTGTGTTTCTATATCATCGTATATATCTCCGAAAAAAAAAAAAAAACATTTATTTATTCTCTAAACGTAACAAGTAGCAATTATTCCCGATATCACATCGATCAATCGTTAAAATTATTTGAATGGCAAATTCTTTTCCCGTAATTATTGCATATGAGAAACAATATATCAAATTTTTTTTTATTTTTTGCTGTAAATATAATTTGATGTATAAAATTATATGGATGGTGCATGAAAAATGTTTTTTTTTTTTCAATGATATTGCTGAACTAGTATCAACGTTTTTTTAAGCAACTCTTATGTAATTTTATCTGTCTTTATAATGTTCTACTAAAACCTGTCTATTGTCTTATTCTGTTAATTATGCGTGGCGAGTAAATTATGACACTCGTTGCATCGCTTCAAGGCCGACCGTGATTACAGTTAATTCGTAGGATGCGGTAATAGGCTTCGTGCAGAAAATTGTTCTGCCTATTAATTCCATGGAATATTCCAATCCAAGAGAGAGAGAGAATCCATTTACATTCAGAATTGTATTCAGAATATTTAAATAGTAATTACAGAACTCTTGTAGATGTTCCGTGATCCATAACGCTTAAAAAACTTCGGCTAAATAATTTGTCGTCGGTTCTTAGGAAAAAAGGTCTTTTCTGTTTATAAATAATATAGTATCTGGGCTCCACCGTCGTCAAGGAATTACGCGGCACCGAGTCGACGAAAAAGTCGATACAGAAGCTGAAGAAGACCTTTCGAGAACCTAGAATCACCCCTGACATTATACTGGCGATCTCTTATCGTGGCGTTCGTTTTCTCAACACGTTAAACAATGTAAGGTTCTTTTTTGTCACAGCAAACATTTTTATACGTGCAAGACGAAAATATAGAAAGGTATGTTCTTTATGACTGACACTATAGGAGCCAATTTGCGAGCACGAGATCCGTAACATTCATTGCGCCTGCCAAGATGCTGACGATCTTACTCACTTCGCGTATATCACGAAGGACCACGCCAGTCGCACGCACTTTTGTCATGTATTTTGCGTGCCAACGATGGTAAATATTTTTTTTTCAAAGAGAACTAAGAGAACAATCGCTCAAGTTATTTTATTACGTATTAATTTCCTATGATTTCATTTTTGACGCTCGGATTTTTGACATACGAAGCTCCATCATTCCGTTACAGGATCAGGCGACGGAGGTGATTCTGACTCTGGGTCAGGCTTTCGAGGTAGCTTATCAGATGGCATTGAAGGACAAGCTCGGTGGACACGCTATTCGGTCCCAATCCGCCAATCAAATAGCAACGCTCGCTGGATCGTCAAAGTCAACGACGCCCGCCAAAATGTCCGTGTCACCCGATTCCGCGTCCGATCCCACCGGCCGAGACGCGGATCATACCGTGACTCTCAATTCCACGTGCGCGAATCCCAAGATGAAATCGAGATCGAAGTCCGTTCCCAATCCAAATCTCCATACCGTTAATCCAAATCCGACGCAGGATAGTAACTCCAATTCCAGTCCTAGCTCGACGACGACCACCGCGAACTGCAATCCCAGCTCGAATACCGCCTCGAGCCCCAGCGCGAACTCGATCACCAGCTCTAACTTGAACAGCACCACTAATCAGACCACTAAGCCCCTGGTCACCCACGGCCGTTCTCATTCCGTCAACGACATCAAGGTAAACGGTAATCAATTGAAGTTAGCACCAGCGCCGGTGGACGATATCGGTATCGGGGTAAAGGACATGAAGCCCGGTTCCAGAGCTCCGATCGCGCTCTCCGAGGAACTGTAAGCTATGTATTTCGAGCCGAAATGCATGATGATATCGCGGTACGCGATCGCGTAGCGTTCGATTTGACCGAAGTGCGTCGCCTTTGCGCCGACATGAATGACAGAGATCTCCACCAGCACCATAGAAATGACTGTCTGGTAACGATTTTCCAATCTTTCAATTTAGAAACATATTTAATGGCATTTACAGTGAACGTGGGACGGCAATATTTCGTTGTTACTCGCGAAGTTTGCATAAAGAGTTAAGCAAAGCATCATATTATATAGACATGCGTCTCTTGCGATTTTGAGATTAATACCAATTACAAAATGCGAATATTCTCTCGACCGATTAGCGGTATTAATCGGGATTACGCGATTACTATACCTAACTAATATAGTTCCTTGACGCGTAAGAAGGAACAAATGTCTTTTAGGTCTTTTTATGCGACTGCATGGATTTGTCTCTTCGCCAATGGCGTACGTATTTTCGATGAGGGGCTCACTCGTATATATACATTCACCGCCGCCGGAAGGCAGGAGGCTTTTATAGGATTCAGCTATTATGCACGGAAGGAACGATTTTGCTGAAGTCTCTAAAAATTTGGGTGAATAAATAAAGATCTGAAAATAATTTTTTTGGACCATCAAAATAATTATGTAGGAAATTCAAGTATGATGAGCACACAATGCTGCAAAAAATTTTGCAGCATAACATTTTAACGATCAATTTAAACGTTCTACATAATTATTTTGATAGTAATTATTTTCAGAGTGTATCTGGCTAATTTTTAGATACTTCAAAACCGTTCTTTCCATGTGAGATAACGAATGATATATATATTTGGCCTTGAGAACGACAGAGGTAAGTAAGAGAACGTCGTTCCTCGCCACCTTCAGATTGACACTTGACTGATTTTACAATGATGACGCTGTGATCTTGATCTTGAATGCCGTGCAAGGTGTGCCAAGATGATTGGCCAAGATGATTCATCGAGACAAGTAAGCGATCGTTCACTGCGGGCACTTCCGGCGGAACAATGAAACGCATTAGATCTTTCTTCCTTAGGACGCGTCGTTAAAGTAAGCAGTATTATTACGTCATTAACGATAATAGGAGTGAGCGTAAATATGCTCGCCGCGATATTATTTAGCGAGACGTAAAATCGCTATACGATAACGTTGGATGTGCAATTTTTAATGTGCAGCTTTAATCTGTCGCGGATAGGCTCGGCGGTTTCGATTTTCGCTTGACGTACCTACGTCGGGCGTTTATTTGTCTTGAAAATGCTATTTGTGGCATCGAACGCGTTGACATTCGCCATCGGATCACGGGAAAGGAAAGGACGCGAAGGAAAAGGTGCGACGCGCGCTAATAAGCGCACCAATGCTCAATATCGATCCCTCGTTAAACGTTAACGGCGACCAACGAATCCGTTCCCCTTTTTCCTCACCCCCCGTGCTCTCTTCGTGATTTCTCATTCCCCCGTTCCCAAGTTCCGATTTCGAGTTGCCACCGTTTCCTCGACGATTTTATTCTCCAAGACTGAGAGTCCTTATCTCGTTTTATATTTCGCGATTTTAGTATAATGTATAATATAGAAGGAAAAAAAACTAGATCGAAAGAGAATTTTAATATATTTATCCGGCGAGAACCTCGCGGACAGGAAATGCGAACGTATAGCATCGAATATCTATCGAATTTTATTTGATACTCGTACGCTACCCGTCGAGAAATTGCAGAAAACAAGAAAAAAGAAAAACACGCCACGCTCTCAAACGTGTCACGATTGATCGCAATTTAGAGCATGCACTATACATCACCTTTAATTAGGAAGAAGTATTGTCAACTGGCTCTTTCTTCTCTGTCTGTAATGTAATTAGAAGTATGACCATACAGAGAGAGAGAATCGAAGTTAATCAGTTCGCGTCCGAATCCGATATCATGGCATTATATTGATAATAACGTGCGTAACACATGGGTATCGTTCCATTTTTACTACGTACGGGCCTAAAGGACCTGGGTATAGACATCTTGCAAAACTACCTATTTAACGATATACATATATCTATATCGTACAATCGACGACGTACGTAGGAAAAGAAGAGCTACAGCGAAACGAAATTTTGTGTAGACTTTAGATACGTCCTCTTCGTATAGTTCTCTCATCTAAACCAAAGAATATAAATATAAATATGCATACCATACATGCACACGGACACAACACGCACTTATATACATATACGCGAAAAATGTTACGCGAAAGGACAGAGAATTAATAGAATTTGTCGAGAGCCATCGCGCGAGGGGAAGAAAAACCGACAAACTGCCAAAACGATACACCATCATCGCCATTCTCGAGTAGCAGTACGCACACTTTGTATCTATCATATTTACAACGTAGTTCATTATCCATTAACGATTATAAGATATCTATCAGAACAGCCATGGACATCGACGGCGAAGTTTCCTTCACCGCGAAACCGTATAACCAAGTATTCTATTCGCATTTGATGTATTCATGTTTAGAGCAGCTATGTTTAGTGAGTAGAGTATCGGTAGGGAGCATGTTCTATCGATGTGTCGACAGGTACCATTTAACAGATATATCGTGTAGAAAACGAGGAGGAGCAGGAGGTACGTATAGCACGTATATATAGAAGATAATAGTTTTCGTCACTAATGACCGCACGATAGTTTTCTTCCGCAGCGGCGGGCAAATTCCATCGATTTGCCTGCCTGCGAAATTCGTGCGACCGGAAACGCGCAAGCAATTGAAAATAGTGCCAACGTGCGAGCCGATCGTGTACAATTCTCGATTCGATCTCGCCGTTTGTCTTTCAGGGAAATACGTCGCAAAAAGCAGAGAACAATAACTTCCTCCCTTTCCCGTTTTTGGATGTAATATTTATACACTTAACGACTGACAAACGCACATTTCTCGTCAGTTACGAGAAGTAAATCATCGAGTCAGTATTAAAGTAAAAAAGTGTATTGATAGACTAATATTTAATTCGTCATCTAATACTTTGATATTACAAAACTATAAGTATATAATATAATTAATAATTAGATATATATAATTATTATATTAAATATAATAATTATACATATGTAATAATATATAATATTATATAAATAATGTTTTATATATATAATATTATATAATTGTGTAAACACATAATTGAACGGTGATTTACTCCTCATAACGTCCTTTCTTTTATATACGCGTAATTATAGCGACATATCTATCTGGAAGACAAACTCGCTGAGACACTGAAATCAATATATCGATCACTTTCGGTACCGCGGTGGATCTTTAAAAGACGTAAAATGCAAGTAGCACACAAAGATTTTTCGGACCAAGCAAGAACAAGCAAAAGCATTTTGCTCGTTATGGATTACTGTTGGGATATTAGAGACAGTGTCACGTCGCACTGCACTTCATCACGAAGGTACGGAGTTTAGCACCTTGTGCCCGTTGGTACCGATAACGGCATAAGATTTATGCTGTCAATATTATATACAATTTTTAGAATATGTGTACATATATACATTGTATATAGAAATTACACGGACCACCGCGAATCAGTTTCTTCCATTGATATATACCAAAGAGATTGTGGGTGATCTTTATCATTGTGATTTGTACATTTGACCGTAGCGTAACGATCTTTACTATGATTTGTTATTAGAAATAAAATTTCTTTTCTTTTTTAAATGATTTGTTGGTAGAAATAAAATTATAATTTATATATAAAAGTTATGTTGCGTATAACCGAATTAACGCTAGAATTTATCATTAACAGTGCCGCTACATTTTTTTTCATGCTCATTAATTTCGTATGGACGTGGTGTTGTACGTAATTACATAATCGAATGTATTTGTCGCATGCACGTCAATCCTATAAACGTGAGAATTTCGTTTGCTTTACTCCAATCAAATTTGCATAGCAAATGCGTTTTGACACGTCGTCGGTTAACTCTACAAAGGCCCTGGTAACAGTGCAATTCGCTAATATGTATTTATATTCCCTTGAATAGAGTTTTAGGTAAATAAACAGTATAAATAATCGCAAGAACGACACATTCTAAAGTTATATCATGACATCTCGTAATTTATGAACTTATTATTTCTGTATATTTTTTGTTATTATTCATTGAACGCTGGCAATAAAAAAATATGAATTTTTTGTTACATCGTTGTTATTTTGTGTATAATAAGGACGACCATTCTAAAAATGCGGATTATACAATGCGGGACTTTGACAATAGCGATTTAATTACATGCGTAAATGCGAATCGCTGTAAACTGATTCCGGTGGTAGCGTATCCGCAGTTCTTTGTATGGTAAATAGAAAAAAAAATCTGTGTACAGTTGTCGATATTACCTTCGTTCCGGCCGCGAGCGCGAATTCGTGCGCTTTTAAGGCCGTAGTTGGATGCATTTCGCGGATCGTTACACGCGAAATGCAACTGTTCCTGATTCTCGCGCAAGCAGGGATATTAAAGCCGGGAGTTAATATATTTCGGAGCACGAACTTCCGTACTTTTTAATATACGAACTCTCTATACGCGAGAGAGAGTCGATCCCTCTAGTCCCGGAAAGTTATTAATTCCGAAAAATGATATTTCCCCCGGTATTAATCCGCGTACCTGCGCCAGTGAGGGCTCGTGAAACGGGATGAATGTGTGGAGTAATGCGCGCACAAAGATGCAGCTCGGCGAAAAGAGCGGCACATTCCTCGAGACAGACACATGTTTTTACATGCAAACGAACGCTAACTTTCTTTTTGGTCGTTTCCCCGCCCCGCGTAACGCGACCGCAGTTGAAAAATCGCGAAATTCGCATCCGCGTATAGTCGACGGCGCGTTATCGCGAGTGGGGAAGGGTGCGCAGTTTAATCATTAACTAGCCTAGGTAATTGCAAGCATATAGTACACGCGTCTGGCGCTCCGTATCGGGTCGCGTCGGATTTCGATCGGTATAGGATATTGAAACCGCGAGTAACAATTTTTCGGTGAGTTCTTATTCTAATCCCTGATGCTGATCGACACTTTGGAAAAGCCACGGCTTCATCGGTTTCTGCTACGCCCCACCCGATCCCAGTAATATATCGAGAGTTCTTCTACACTTTTCAAATGTATAAAAACATAGATTGAAAGACGGAGGATTTAGCGCTTTTAAAAATCGTATTCGTATCTCCTTCATTAATGTGACGTACTGTTCGTTAGCTGGTTAGGTATCTCGCAAATGTTTTTCGTCGATTCTAATTCAGATCGTGATTACTCATACGTAGATTTACGACTTCAAATTCATCGATAGAGTTTCGGAGATTTTCGGAAAGGTGTGCGCGCAAATTCGCCTCGAACGCGACTGTTCACTTTTTTCAATGAGGTTGGCAGCAGGTGCCAAGTTGACTATTTTTCACTGCCGAAATGAACGATTATATTTGCCAATCAACGTTAATCCGTCTTAATATTAATTGTTACGTTTCAGCTCTTCGTGCAATAATAATTTAGTATGCAGCTATAAACGACTGATTTTAAATTGGTATCTACGAAAAGAGAAATATATCTGTCTCTTGCGTGAGACAAAAACACGATCTACCTGTCTGTAATCACTTAAATCGTTGCACATATACACTAAAACGAGACTTTTTATTAGCGCCATTCTCTATTATAGTGGCTAAGCTATACTCTGTAAATTTTTGATCTTCGATAGAAATTCTCGTTAAAGAGATCGAGTGTGTTGTGCGGCGGCTTGTACCGTCTAAGTACAGCCAAGATTGCGTTAAAGGAATGCCGAAGCGGAGCAAAATTGAACCCCGCTTGAAAGTGGACGAGTATAATTGGGCCAGAAGAACAAAAGATACGGAAAATGAATCTTCACGCATATATATATATACATATATATATATACATATATATGTAGAAGTGTACATAGCGAGAATAAATGTAAAATAAGCGAACCAGAAGCGATTTCAAAGTTGAAATGTCACGGCGCGAAATGCCCGTGATCGCCGGAACGGAAGAGTAGACGAATATCTGGTATCGAATGGTCACGCTTTTTCGAATGTTGCGCGAATGAGGCATTCGGAAAAAAAAAATTGGATATAACTCCGCTTTTTCTGTCTCACGCACACTCAGCGCGATTCCCATAAATACTAGTTCGAGTTAACTGAAATTTAAACGATTTCTCCCTCTCTCTTTGGGCGCAGAATCGAAAGGAGACGGGGAACCACTTAAATCTCAGTTCTTTTAGCTCAATTCTCTCAATTGGATCATTGTTATGGGAACAATCCGCAATTGTAGTGCGCAATCTGTCAACACGTGTGTATACGGAGTGTTCGTCGAACCTCACGAGTAGTTGTAATGCTTGTGCGCGAGAGGGCTGATAGGTAGTCGATAGTTATACGGATATATATCGGATATATCTGTTAGAAGTAGAGGCGAAAATCACTCTTCTACGTTGCATTTCGCCACGCTGCGCGCCATTGAAGGAAATAAGTTTTCCACGAGTCATCCGTTTATCGTTATGCAACAGCATTCGGCAAGCATTTGCGGCTGCATGGCGCAATCATCATTTGCGAAATCAATCGATTTTGGCAATAACGC